AGACAGGATTTACAGCCAATACCATGGTTAGCTTCATCTTGCTTTAAAATTCAACTTTAAATCTTGTCAGATAACAATGTGAAAATAAAGCTATGATGATGGAGGAAGCTTTGACTCAGGTTTCTTCTTCCATTTCTCTCTACCTCTACACCCTCATTCATTCATTCGTTCATTCATTCATTAAATAACTATTGGAAACTTATGTGCCAGGTACAAAGCTAGGGACCAGGAAGCAGAGGTGAACAACATGAACATGGTCCGTGCCCTCAGGGGGGCTCACGATCTGCTGGGAAAGACAGATATTAAATGGTAACTGTGCAAACTATATCTAACTACCATTGTGATATGACCTTGAGTGAAACCACAGGGAAGTTGTGAGCGTGCAAAAGGGAGACCCTCATGTTCTTGAAATGTTGGCATATCAGAGAAGGCACCTCTGAACAAGAGGCACTTAATCTGAGACAAAGGAGTGGACATTAGCCAGGAGGAAGAGCACATGGGGAAAAGAACCTTTCACTCATTCAACGAATAGCTATAGAGTATCTGCCATGGGCCAAGCCCCAGTCTAGATGCTGGGGACACATCAGTGAAGAGAACAGACAAGGTCTTTGCCTGCACAAGGTCAACATCCTAGGGGGAGGAGATAGATAATAAAGAAGATAATAAATCAATTAACAGTTAAATAAACAAAAATATTGTTAGTGGTGGCAAACCCCACGGAAGAAGTAAAACAGGGTGGTGTGATAGCAAGTGGCGAGGGGTGGGGTGGCTGCCTTAGAGATGGGGGTTAGGTTGGTCCTGTCTGAGAAGGAAAAAAAAAAAAAAAGCTACTGCAATTGTTTAGATGAGCTTTGGTAATGGCTCAAGAAATACTTATTTACCTTCCCTCCTAGGCATGCGTTAGGTCCTCTTTCTTGGGGGTGATCAGGCCATTTCTATACAGGCAGAATTTGGCCTTTTATGAGTTCCTCCCAATACTTTCACTCCAAAGTACAACTAGTCCCCATGCATGGGATTCCACGTGACCTGGGGGAGTAAACACTTGGTCACAGTGCAAGGAGCAGACGGCTTGGGTGCATCAGTGAACCAGTGTGTGGGTGTAAACTGGGAAAGGCTACACTGGGACAGGAAGAGAGATGAACGCCGTGACCGGGTCATTGCAGGTTTAACTGGGTGCTCGCCCGAGGTTTGGAACAGGTACACGAGATGAAACTCTCTGATGCCTCACGCAGGCAATGCACAGAGGCAACTGTGTGCTTTCCTCTCCTGACCCCTGATAAATAGATGTCTACTGGAATGAATGAATGAATGAATGAATGAATGAATGTATTGGAAAGGGAATTCCTTCTTTCTGTGGCTTCTCCAGCAAGTGTAAGTGATGCTTGGGTCATCTTTATGCCTGCCTCTCTTTGTATGTGTCCAAACCAGAATTCAAAGTATCTTGGTGCAGGGACCTATTTTTATAGGGCAATTCCCCAGACTTAAATATTCAACACTTATGAGTATTTTTTAAGGATTAGTTGTAAACCATGAGTATGAACGTTATCTTACAAGATTTTTTTTTTTTTTTTTTTGGTAATTGGTGGCCCAGAACTGTCTCTTATATTTAGAAGCCTGAATCTAGGGTTACGTATCAAGATACATGCATCGTGCTGTTTTGCTGAATGCAGCTGTCCTGCTGTAGGCCAAAGGTAATTTGCGGATCCAGGAGCTGAGGCCAGCGATTTTATGTCTGCATCTGTTTCTGCCCATAACTTGTGGGCAGAGACAGGGTAACTTCAAGAGCTGTAGCACTATCAGCCTCAGCAATGCAAAGAATGGTAGGACAGGGACTGAGCCTTCCTTCCCTTCAGTACAGCCAGTGTGTTCTCCTGCAAAGTGACGGCATAACACTTCGCTCATGCCTCTGTCTGGGCACTCTCGTGTTTCCTTCTCATTATTTATGTGTATCTGTTCCCCCCACTAGACTACTGCCACCTTCTCAGGGGTCTCTCTTAAATGTACTGGAATTTCCAAAGCTGAGCCCAGTTTCTGTGGTTGAGCAGGTGCTCTATAAATATTGGTCAAAGGAGGAGCTGGATGAGAGTGACAACACCATGGGGAAATTGTTTGAAAAGCTATTAGGAGGCCGGGCGCGGTAGCTCACGCCTGTAATCCCAGCACTTTGGGAGGCCGAGGCAGGGGGATTGCCTGAGGTCAGGAGTTCGAGATCAGCCTGGACAACATGATAAAACCCCGTCTCTACTAAAAATACCAAAAAATTAGCCAAGTGTGGTAGCGTGTGCCTGTAATCCCAGCTACTCGGGAGGCTGAGGCAGGAGAATCGCTTGAACCCGGGAGGTGGAGGTTGCAGTGAGCTGAGATTGTGCCACTGCACTCCAGCCTGGGCAATAAGAGTGAAACTCCACCTCAAAAAAAAAAAAAAAAAAAAAAAAAAAAGAAAAGGAAAGCTATTAGGTTACTTCAGCCCTGCATATGGAAGGTATAGTAAGAAGTAGCATGCTTAATGTGGACGCTGCTTTTTGTTTTATGTTTTTGCCTAGCAAATCTCTCTCCTTCTTCTGGTAAAAGCACTTTGGTTTTCCTTTGGGGAACCACCCTTCCCGCACCCTCGATCTATAAAGTTTGGGTGGAGCTGACCTCACATTCAGTTCCAGTGATTGAATCCTGACTTCAAGCCTGGCCAATGAGGGCCCCACCTGCCCCTGGCCACAGCATCCATTTGTGTTGGTACAGTGGCTGTACCTGTTTATTAATGACTGGTATCCATTTTGATAGGTCGGTTTCTGTTTTGTATCAATTGTTCATTATACTGAATTGAAACATTTTTTTCCCCCTGGCGCTATTAGGGAAGAAACTCTTTCCACAGGCATTGCTAAGCTGGTAGGAAAAAGTCCAAAGCTCTTGGCAGTCATCTTGTCCCTACTAAACTAAAATGAACTCAGCAAGTTGGGGCTGAGACATAGAAAGGGACACGTTCCCAGAAACCCTGAGCACCAGGATCCAGCTGCACCTGAAGCTATCCCTGGAATTTTCCGTGTTCTGAGAGTAAACTCTACTTTTTGCTCTATTTAGCCAGTTTTTGTAACTGGCTGATAAAGGAATGTCTTGGTTGATAATACACCAATTCTTTTTTTTTTTTTTTTTTGATACGGAATCTCACTCTGTCATCCAGGCTGGAGTGCAGTGGCATGATCTCAGCTCACTGCAACCTCCACTTCCTGGGTTCAAGCGCTTCTCCTGCCTAAGCCTCCCAAGCAGCTGGGACTACAGGCATGTGCCACCATGCCTGGCTAATTTTTTGTATTTTTAGTAGAGACGGGGTTTCACCGTGTTAGCTAGGATGGTCTCGATCTCGACTTTGTGATCTGCCTGCTCGGCCTCCTGAAATGCTGGGATTACAGGTGTGAGCCACCGCGCCTGGCCACCAATCCCTTTTTAAACTGTGCTTTTGCGAGTGGAGCAGGGACAATCTTAGCTTTGGAGGAAGCTCTGGACAAGCCCATCATCCCAACAAAGACCATTTTGTCATTCTTAGGGCTTAGGACCTGGGAGACACCCAAGAAAAATCAGTGGCCTTCTTGACCCCATGGATCACATTTAATAACAAGATTTTTCTTATTTTCGCTTTAATGGAACCAACATTTTCAGTGCCAAGTAGAAGGACATTTCTGGCCGTAAATTAGTTCAGAGTGATGCCTCTCTAGCGCCACCTCTGGCCTCTCTGGGGTCTTCCCTGGGGACTGAGGGTTGGACTAGATGAGCTTATTTTGGTTATGGAAATCTCTGGAAGGTGGGGACTTCCCTGGGGACTGAGGGTTGGACTAGATGAGCTTATTTTGGTTATGGAAATCTCTGGAAGGTGGGGACTTCCCTGGGGACTGGGGGTTGGAATAGATGAGCTTATTTTGGTTATGGAAATCTCTGGAAGGTGGGGAACCCCAAGAAAACACAATTCACACGCTGTGGTACACAGGCTTACTTAAAACCATTTTTATTCTGCCTCTCAGCAACACCTTTCATTTGATTTGGGTAAAAGACCAGGGACCCAAACACGCACAAACAAAAAACAAGATGTCAGAAACAGAAATCAGGATCCAGTCTATTGGAATGATGCTAGAATCTCCGTGTGCTGAGATTTCGTGTCCCTGATTCAACGTCCTCCTGGGACAAGTGCTGGCTCATCACAACATCCGGGTAAAATGACAGGTAGAATCTGATGTTCATCAGCTTTTATTTATTTTTTTGCTAGGGTTCAGTATATGAAAAAATGTGGAAATTTGTATTGGTATAGTACTTAGAAACCCCCCCGCCAATGGTTAGTCACATCTGTGACAACAATTAATTCTCATAACAGCACTGTGAGGTAAGTAGGCAGGCATTCGTATTCCCATTTTGCAGGTGAAGGAATATTAGGCACAGAGAGGCTAAGAAACTTGCCTAAAATCGGCTTGCATAGCTAGTTAGTGGCCAATTAAAAACCCTGCAAACACAAGAGGGCATTGGAACTCAGATATTGACTCTCAGCCTCTTATTCATTCAATTAGAATAATCTGTCTTTCTTTTTTCCTTTTTCTTTTTCTTTTTTTTTTTTTTTTTTTTGAGATGGAGTCTTGCTCTGTCACCTGGGCTGGAGTGTAGTGGTGCAGTCTCAGCTCACGGCAACCTCCGCCTTCCGGATTCAAGTGATTCTCCTGCCTCAGCCTCCCTAGTAGCTGGGATTATGAGCATGTACCACCATGCCCGGCTAATTTTTGTATTTTTAGTAGAGATGGAGGTTCACCATGTTGGTCAGGCTGGTCTCGAACTCCTGACCTCAAGTGATGCGCCCACCTCGACCTCCCAAATTGTTGGGATTACAGGCGTGAGCCACCATGCCCGGCCAGCATAATCTGCCTTTCTTTTGCTTCATTATCGCTATGTTTCTGACATTCATTCTTTGAAGTGACTTTTGCCATATATACATATGTAGTGTGTTAATTACTTGACATTTTCTTGAGTTCTCCTATTTTTCTTAAGTTAATTTATTTGAACAGAAACAATATATCCTATCTCCCACTGTGGGAAGCTGTAAATGGAAGGTAATAAATAAAATAAATACCATGACACAAAACAATATCATTACATTCTTTCTAGACAGAAGACTCCGAACCTGAGACCTGCTCTTTCTTTGTTAAGAAAGGGAAAGAGCCGTAGTGTCTGAAAGGTCTAAAGGACTTGCTAGCACTAAACAGAGACTTTTTCCTTGCTGTAATCAGGATGAAAAAAGAATAGAAAAGGGGAAACATTCTTTGTGATTTGATATTACTTAATGTTGTTCCTAGAAGCTACTTAAAAATTATCTTGTGTGCCAGCAGTGGCACACCCCTTGAGCTCTGTGAGACGCTGGGTTGCCGTGTTCTGGCAGGCAGAATAATGGCATCATTAAAACCAGTACATTCATACCTAAAGGGTTTACATTGGACAGAAAAGAAATACAATGGGTGGCATTTCTGGGTGGCATCCAGGAAAATCAAAGATCTTGCCTGAGACTTGCTAGAGAGAGGAGAGTGAGAAATTAGAAAAAAAAAAGCACATTCTATAAATACAGCCAGTTTATTCCCAAAACTGGGATAGAGGAAGTGCTCGTGTACCTAGAATTGGCCACTAAGTCCATTCTCAGAGGCTGTTTGAGTGAAGAGTGAGGTTTTGGTCAAGTCGACCAACGTGGATGCAAGCAAGGGAGGGGGCCTATTTGGAAATGTAAGGATCAAGACAAAAGACTAGAAAAGCCCCTTCTTTGAGTGTTTAATGACCAGATGGGTAAACCCTGGGCATGGGGGTGCTGACTCCCAGAGGAGGAGTTACTGAAGGTTGTAAGAATAAAAGGAAAAGCAAATCCACAACTTGAACTCTACTAGACAATTTTAAACATGCTGCAAACGTTTGTGCTCAACGTCGTAAATACCAGCACCCGCTGGTCTTCCTAGAAACCTCCATCTCCCCCTGTATGGAGATCCCCTGGATCCCCTCAGTGAAAAGTTATGTGATTTCCTGAGGCTTGCCTCTGGAGGAGAGGAGTGGACACAACGGGATTCGCTAAACTGAGACAGTGAGGCTTCATTTTTCTTTTTTCTGTTTTCTTTTCATTTTTACAAATCAATGACTTTGGCTGATCCGGCTGTGCAGCTTGGATTTCCTACATTTTGGACTTTTTTTTTTTCTTGTTCATTTGCCAGGGACCTGCCTCTGGAGAGTCCTGGAGGAAAAGATCTCACAGTCTGAAGTCGAGGACCCATTCCTCAGAAACTCCTTTGGGTGTGTGTGGATGAGGTCCATCCTCCATGCTCACAGCCCACTGACCGCTGGTTCCTCAGGCACTGTGTGGTACAGACAGAGAGAGAAAGAGAGAAAGACCATGGGCTGAGCCTCTGTGGTTGCCTTTCCCAGCTCGATGCCTTCCTTTTGGATGGCGATGACTCTGGTTAAACACATGCTGAAATGTACCAGCCCACCTGCACACTTTTGACTCTAAGCAGGGGCTTCCTTTTGAGAAACATATTCTATTTGGAAAACTTATTTTATCTTACATGCAAAAAAACAAAAACAACAAAAAACAAACAAACAAAAAACCGAATAATGCAGATACGGAAAAATGCCTCTTGAGCATTTCTGAACCTCACTCTCCTCCCCAAGGGTTAGTATAGTAGCACGTTAGCAGTTTGGTGTAAGTTCTCCAGGTGTTTTTCTCTGCATTGAAACTGATCAATAAGCATTTAGAAATTGTATACTCATCATGTGTATGTGTTTACATAATGCAATCGTGCTGCAATTTCTTTTTTTGTTTTACTCATTTATTCAATGTGTATATACATGCTGGGCACTGCTCTAGTGCTGATTATAGTAATAACACCCGACAGTTACCTAGTGAGTACAGTGTGCCAGGCCCTGGAGTATGTGCAATTTAACCCTCACAGCCCTATGAGGTAGGCACTGTTATTATCTCCATTTTATGTATGAGAAAACAGAGGCACAGACTGCTTAAAAGATATACCTAAGGGCACACAGCTACTTAGAGGAAGCACCTGGATTGGAACTCCAGCAGTCTAGCTTGTAAATAGGCACTTTTTTTTTTTTTTTTTTTGAGATGGAGTCTTGCTCTGTCGCCCAGGCTGGAGTGCAGTGGTGTGATCTCGGCTCACTGCAAGCTCCGCCTCCCAGGTTCACGCCATTCTCCTGCCTCAGCCTCCCAGGTAGCTGGGACTACAGGCGCCCGCCAACATGCCCGGTTAATTTTTTTTTTTTTTTTGTATTTTTAGTAGAGACGGAGTTTTACCGTATTAGCCAGGATGGTCTTGATCTGACCTTGTGATCCACCTGCCTCGGCCTCCCAAAGTGCTGGGATTACAGGCATGAGCCATCACGCCCAGCTGTAAATAGGCACTCTTAAGGGCCATGCTCTATTATTATGGGCAGTAACAGAAATGAAAATGTCCCTGGAGTTCTCATGCCAGTAGGGGGAAACAGACCATAGATATAGAATTTATCAGGGAGTGGTAAGGAACAGGAGTAAAACTGACTAAAGGGATAGTCTCTTTGCTAACGTAATATAAGAACAAGTGCCAGATGGAGAGATGGGAACCAGCTGAATGGCTTTTAGGAGGAAGAGAGTTCCGGGCAGAGGCAACGGCAAGTGCAGAGTCCCTGAGGCAGGAATATGCTTGCATTGCTCAGAGAGAAGACTCTGATGTGGCTGAAGTGGAGGGAGTGAAAGGGAGAGAGGGGAGATGAGGATGGGGGAGGGGAGATGAGGATAGGGGAGGGGAGATGAGGATGGGGGAGGGGAGATGAGGATGGGGAGGCAGCAGTCAGATCATGCAGGGCTTGTAAAGTCATAGTAAGAAGGATGTCTCTACGTGTATACTTTTTCAAAAAATAGAGACGGGATCTCACTATATTACCCAGGCTGGTCTTGAACTCCTGAGCTCAAGTGATCCTCCTGCCTTGGCCTCCAAAAGTGCTGGGATTACAGGTGTGAACAAGGGCACGTGACCCTGTCTCCATGTTTAAACTGCAGTGTGGTATCCCATCATACGAATATATCACTCCTAATTTAACCTGCCTACTGACGGACATGTAGGTGGTTTCAAGATTTCTCCTACTGCAAACAAAGCTGCAATGAACATCATTGCACATCTGTGGTTCCCAACCCCAGCTGTGCATTAGAGTTACCTGGAGAACCCTACAGTCTACCAATCCCTGGTCCTATTACTGGAGATTCTAATTTAATTGGTCCAGGGTGGGCCCTGGGCATTGTTTTTTAAACTTTTTTTATTTTAATTTTTTGAGACAGGATCTTGCTCTGTCACCCAGGCTGGAGTACACTGGTACATTTATAACAGACTGCAGCCTTGACCTCTTGGGCTCAAGCTGGCCTCGCACCTGAGCCTCCCAAGTAGCTGGGACTGCAGGTGCGTGCCACCAAGCCCAGATAATTTTTTTTTTTTAAATTTTTAGTAGAGATGGGATCTTGCTATGTTGCCCAGGCTGGCCTCCAGCTCCTGAGCCCTAGTGATCCTCCTGTTTCTGCCTCCCAAAGTGCTGGAATTACAGGCATGAACCACAGTGCCCAGTGGTATTGGCATGCATTTAAAGCTCCCCAGGTGATTCTAACACATAGCTAGGGTGAAGCATTACTGCGTTATGTGCATTTTTGTGCACCTGTCTCTAAGGTGGATACTGAGCAGTGGAATTGCTGGGTTAGTGGGTGCCTGGATTTTATATTAGATACATCCAAATTGACTTTCCAAAAGACTGTCCCAGTTTTCTCTTTCACCACCAGTATAGTGTCCAATTTTTCACATCCTGGCCAACCTTGATATTCCCCATCTTTTTAATTGTTGCAATCTGCCAGACAAAAATATGTAGTATTTTTTGTTGTTGTTGCTTTAATTTGTGCTCTTGATTACCAGTGAGGTTTAACATCTTTTTAATGTTCATTCGGATTTCTTCATCACCGTGTGCTAGCTTATATCCTTTTCAAAGCAAAATTCCTTCCATTGTTGCTGGCAACTTAAGTCTGATTTGTCTCTACCTCAGCTTATCTGAACCAACACAGAAAGCCCCTTCTAACCTTCTGGAAATAGGTAACGATTCCCATTTTTCATTATGGAATCATGAAATTTCTCTGAGCAGAACAATTTCCAGAAAGCCTTTCTCCAGCCAACAATATAGAAAAGAAGAGGGATTTGCTTTTAAGCTTTTGCAAAAAGGTCAAGTTCCTGCTTCATGTCCACCTTGATATGTATGTCTCGTTCCAATTCTGATGCAATTGAAGGATATTTTGAGGCCAGGAAAGGATTCATTTCAATTTGCTTATGAGAGAGGAGCTTTCCCAGTACAGAATGGGTCAAGATCTTCTAACTCTGTGCCTGCTAAGGAGACACAGTCATGGGACCCTTATCCCTGTTTAGAGGTAAGTTTTTCCTTAATGAAAACCTTGGAAAACAAAGGCTGTTGTTGTTAAGAATGGCAAACAAGCGTTTTTAACACACAGGTATGTACCTGGCTGTTTATACCTCAACGAGACCACTCAGAGACGTACAGTCAGAGGAGTTGCATTGTACATGCATTTAACTTATGGCAGATCGACTATTTATGTTCCTCAAAAAGAAAAAAAAGCGACAGAGCTGAAGTTTCTGACTGCCGCCCTGCTCAATGATCATGAGCACGGAGGGGGATGTCACATCTATTCCTTCTATGTAAGCCCAGAGTGTGGTTCCGGTGTTGAAACAGATGCCATGAACCCTAAACCCAGCCACATACTTCAGCTGACTCTCAGCCCAAGGAACAGTCACCTCTTCCAACACTGGAGACATTCACTGGCTATGCTGGGCTGATCGAGATACCATGTGTGAGTCTCCAATAGGGTGCCCTCCTTGGATACTTCCAAGATTAAGTTTGATATACTCAAAGCTCACCTTGTGCCCTGACATGAGAGCCTTACTCCTGAGTAACAAGAAACTCCACTGTATTAGCAGGGTCATCTGAGAATGTCATATTTGTCACAGAGGACATTTGTCTCATACCCAAATGTTGTCATGGTCAACTGTTTCTGCTGCTAAGGACGTTCTGCCAAATTCCACAGAGCATCAGATAAGAGAACAAGAGCCTGATCTCAAGGAGAGAGGAAAAGAGCTGGGTGTGGTGGCTCAACCCTGTAATCCCAGCTAACTCAGGAGGCTGAGGTGGGAGGATCACTTGAGGCTGGGAGCTCAAGACCAGCCTGGGCAACATAATGAGACCCCTGTCTCTAAAACAAAAACCAAAAACAAAAGGGAGGGAGGAAGAGAAAATCTGGGAGGTATATAAACTTTCCAGGGAAGCAGCAATAACTGAAGCTTCTACCAGATAAATTCGGTGTGATATTGTGATAAAGAGTAATAAATATTTGGTCCCTACATCTGGTTCCTGAGACAGAGCTCCTAACACCCTTGTAGACTGGGTACTAGGAGGATCTTTTGTTTTGATGTTTTGTCTTGACTCTAGTTTCTGACACAGAGCTCCCAAATTCCTTGGAATTTCCTGGGTGATAGGACTATATTTATTCTAATGAGGCAACTCTTGGTGGGCTTCTGGATAGCCTCAGGTTGTGGGTGGGTTGCCAGGGGAACTAGCCATGTAATTAGAAGGTTGGAACTTCCAGTCCCAACCCCTGGACTCCAGGGAGGAGAAATGGGCTGAAGGTTAAGTTGGGCACCAATGGCCAATGATGTAATTGATCATGCCTACGTAATGAAGCCCCCATGCAAACCCAAAAGGACAGGGTTGGGAGAGCTTCCAGATTGCTGAATGTGTGGTGGGACCTGGAAGGTGGCACACTTGAACAGGACATGGAAACACCACACCCCTTCCTACATACCTTGCCCTATGCATCTCTTCCATCTGACTGTTCATCTGTATCCTTTGTAATATCCTTTGTAATAACTGGGTAAACATAAGTAAGTGTTGCCTTGAGTTCTGTGAGCCACTTTAGCACATTAATAGAACCTGAGAAGGGGGTCATGAAGATCCCCAACTTAGAGCCAGCCAGTCCGAAGCACAGGTCACAACCTGGGGCTTGCAATTAGCATCTGAAATGGGAGGCAGTCTTGGGGGACCAAACCATTAACCTGTGGGATCTGACTCTAACTCCCAGTAGATGGTGTAGTAATTGAGCTAAATTATACAATACCCAGTTGGTAGTCACTGGACAATTGCTTGGTGTGTGGGGGAAACAAAACACAACTGGTCACAGCTGTGTGTTGTGTTGAGTATGTAAGAGAAGAAAAACTGTTTATCTTTTTATCTTAGGGATGTAAAAAAGTCTGGTTTGTTGGCA